ATAGGAGTCATACGTAAATGTGAATTGGCGCATTCAAATTTCAAACGCGTGTAACTGAGGTGCTGTATTTCATCTTCCTTAAATTTTATTTGGACTACCAGTATATTTACTGCGGTTGTTTTGACATTCGTCTCTTTCATGCTCTTCTTTCAGATCTGGGAAATGGCTTATACAGTGGTCATCATCACAAGTGTTGTGGTTGCTCTCATGAAATGGATGTTAATTTGATTGCAGTTGTTGCATACAGCGCTTTGTCATGTTCTTGGAAGTCATGAATTGTCAAATATAATAAAGTTTACCTCATATTTAGTTCCGACAAATTCTGAATGTTTTCACATCGACTATCTCGAACCAATATGAGAAAATTTAGTCGTTTTGTGAAGTTAGTAATTACTGCAGCATCTTTAAAAACATGACGGAGACTAGCAATACTGAACCCGAAGAAGAATCTGATAGTCGGCACGCGGAATTTCCTCGAGTGCATCCTCATACTACTCTAGATTCCCATCGCACTTTATGGATGGGTGATCTCTTACCACAATGGGATGCTCAGTTCATCTCAAATGCTTTTAAAGTCAGTTACTTCTATGTTTTTTTTTTCTTTATGGTATGCATTATACGTTTAAGGAGCTTGGCCACACACCATCTACTGTTAAAATGGTCACTGATCGGCAAACAGGAGCAGTAAGTAAAGAAGCATATTTTCAAGAGTTAAAAAAATAGATGATTTCACAAGAATTGCGCTTACTGCTTCGTCGAATTTGCATCGTCAGACGAGGCTCGCGACGCTATGCTTAGAGCAAATGGCCACAAAATCCCTAATAGCGAACCTCGCTCTCGTTTCAACCTCTCTTTTGCGAATGATCCTCGAGTACCGTGAGTGATTAGACCTGATGGAAAACCTTAATTTTCCGTATCTTATGAAATAATCCGTCCGTTCTAGATCAATAGAGTTTAACCTATTTGTGAATAATATTCATCCCGACCTCGATGATGCAGCACTTTATCAGGTATATTTACATTATTCATATCCATAATCATTGTTTGGTGTCAAAAAAATTTATTGGCAGTGCTCATTTCTCTCTTCTGTGTATTGAACATTGCATAATACTGATCGGATCAAAAATTTCTGTAAAATCATACTGCTTGTTGCAATTTGTGACTGATTTCGCAGAAATTATTAATCGATACAATAAACTAGCTTCTTATCACTGCTAAAGCATCTTTTTTCTTTTCGTTGCTGTTTCACAAAAATCGCTCTCCGTGACGGTACTCAGTCACAGGTATTTGGAGCTCGTTATCGATCTTGTCGTGGAGCCAAAGTCTACCGTAATCGCGATGGATCTTCGCGATGTCTTGGCTTCATTCGTTTTGGTGATCAAACTGAGCAGCAAATGGCCTTGGTACTTTATTACCGTTTTGAAAGTCCTCTGCCATGAGCCTCGGTTATTTAGGTAGAAATGAACAAAACTGTTGTACGAGGTCGTGAAATCATTTTGAAACTTGCCGCTGCCAAGCAACGATTGCCAAGACATCAGATCCGAGAAGGAATGCAACCTCAACTGGTGTGTTTAGACGCCAAACGTCAAATTTATGCTTGGAATTCTCTTATTTAGATCGCAGATCCGTCGTTAGCCTCATATAATCAAATGGCGTATCAGCAAATGCAACAGCATCAGAATCCGCAAATTACTTATCAATATCCGCAACAGCAGCAACCTGCTTATGTTCAACCTTCCGAACTCATTTGTAAGGCTATCTTTCAACATATGCCTTTTATTGATTATGGTCCAAAAATGTTTAAGTTATACATAGCAGGTATTATTCAGATCCTTATAATCCCACTGCTGAAGAAGCAAACGCTGATCTCATTGCGAATGGGGATGAGTGGTGGGAAGTGTT